AGAAGCTTACCTTGCAGAGAACTGTGCCGCCCTCGACCTGAGCAGAGACCAGGCAGCTCTGATGGTAAGAACGTCAACCTCACTCTTACATGATGGGCTGTTTATATGACAACAACTGCATCTGTTTTTTTTCTTTAATTCTCGACAGGACTTCTGCAAAAAGCTGCATCAGGCCATTGATAAGATTGATGAGGAGAGATACGACACCCAGGTCAAAGTGGAAAAGGCCGACAAAGAGGTGGAGGATTGTGTGCATCTGTCCTCCTTTTAGCAGATTGTGTGCTGCAGTATACTGCGTGGGTCTGTGTTTATCTGCTCTGTTCAGCCTTTGAGCTTCTCCTTTTGACTTCAGATCACTGAACTGAAGATGAAGGTCATTGAGCTGGCCGGAGTGAAGAAACCAGCCTTGAAGAAAGTGCGTATGAGTGCCGACGCCATGCTTAAAGCTCTTCTGGGCTCCAAACACACGGTAAACATGGACCTCAGGGCCAACCTGAAGCAGGTCAAGAAGGAGGTGAAGGAGGAGGTGAGTGTTTGCAGGCTGATTGTTTAAGAGAGCTAAAAACAGTTAACTGTTGCTGATGGTGGGCTGTGTTTGTGTCCTGCAGTCTGCTGAGGTGGTGGGCGACTGGCGCAAGAACATTGAGGACAAGGCTGACAGGAAGAAGATGTTTGAGACCTCTTAAAGACTTTCTCATCCAACTTTTGTTTTGCTCATTCTGGGATGTTACAGCTCTTCTTCACTGTTGCCTCTGATGTGCAATTAAATGTTCTTTTTGGAATAAGGCAATGCTGTGAAGCTGCACTTTTTTCAAGGTGGTCTTTTTTATTTTAACGGCTAATTTAAGTTGGGCTAATTTATACGGGCTGTTGTATATTCACTTACTCCTGAGTTCAATCAGGTTCAATCAGAAATCTAAAGCAGGAGAAGCTTCTTTCCAGGTGTAAGATGACTTTAACATAACTTACATTTCCAAATAGGCAGTTAGAAACTGAGATGTGTTGTGCTGATGTTGAACCACCAGATGTCAGTAGAGAGCCCTTTCGTCCTTTATTTGCTGGCTCCGTTTTCTTCTTTTACATCTTCTCTTTTTAGTTTGAGTCCTAGAAGACTCAGCTATCTGACTCAAGACTCAACTTTTTTTTCGTCATACCTGGAAGTTATTGATCAATCGTTTGTAATCAAATCATATTTGATCACCAATAAAGCTGCAGCCACACAGAGTTCTACAAATGGTGAGTGCTGTTACTCTTTTGACCTTCATCACTCTTTGTTTAATCACTGCATTCAATTTGTCTTCATTCCTTACAATATTCACAGTTTTTATGTTAAATAACTCGTATAAATTAAGTAGGGATTTCTCAACATAGTTTATCGGGTATGTTTAGATGTTTAGATATCTTTCCATTTGTGAATGTCATGGCTGAGAGGGGAACAGCTAACAACGGTTGTGTTAAACATCAGAAATTGATTTTTTCTAAACTTTCAAGTGTTTCTCTTTTGATTTAAAGTTCTAAGGAAGAATGCAGTCAATCAGACTGTTTTCAGCTTCTATTAACAATAAATCAACAATAATAACAATAAGTCATCGTTAATGCATTCAGTGATAGAAACAGAACATAAAGACCAGAAACAAAACGATGATTGGTCAAGTTACATTCCCTGTCTTACTTTCACTTTCCTGATTCCCTCTCATAGGCAGCGACCTGGCGTGATGAATTTCAAACTTAATGTGCATTTTAAAAAAACCCTCAAATACTAATATTTGGATAGTCAAAACAAAATCGAACATTTAGTACATTCGTATTGAAATATTAGTGCTTATTAATGTGCTTATTATAGGTAGTAGCACAGTGTAGTACATCAGTATTATACTGGTGTTGCATCTATATGTGGTAAACATAAATATCAAACCATCAAACATTATTTCACTGTTAGGATAATAATATGGCTTATATAATTCTTTTTTTTATTTGTAATGTAATCCACCAAAAACTGAAGGAAGGAAATTTTCTTTCGATTTCCGTCTGTAAGCAAAGAGGAAAAAGCCAAAATGATGCCAAATTAGTTGTTTTGCTTCATTTATACATTTTAACTTACATTTACACGTTAATTTGTTTCATTTAAATATTAGATTTTTATTTATGACTTTTTAAAAATTTTACAAAATATATGTCCAAATTTCAAAATGACCATCAGCATTATGGCTTCAAGCACATAAAACTCATCAGTATTAAACTGTCTTCTTAAGTCAGACTTTGTTTGATGCCATTTTGTCAGATTTAGTTTTGTTGTAGTTTTTCTGTTTTTGATTGCTCTGTATTTGGCACACTGACTCTACCAAGGGTGTGGAACAAAATCCACGGCCCCCTTTGCTCAAAGAGCTGATTTTAAGTTGTACTGGCTGTCAGTTTTTATGGTTTGATTTTGTGTTTAGCCTCTTAACGTTCACCACGTCACCGGTGGCCCATCGAGGGTGATGGTTCTTTTTGTTGCAACAATCCCACAGTTTATAGGGACATTTGCTGAAATTACAGGATGTTACCTTTGACATACAGTTGTACTTTCATTTCTGCATTAACATTTTAAAAAGGGGTGAATTTAATTCACCCTCCCTCTCCCCCTCACCCCTACACTTAACCCTTAACCTTAACCCTGGACAGGACATCAGTGATGTCATGTGCGTGAAGAGTAACTTGGTGCTGAAGCCTCATTTTAACGACAGCTGAACTTGATTGTGTCTAACAGCTTCAAATGCTGTTCTCAGAGCTCAGTGGGAATCAGTGAGATTGAATTACGTCAGCCACTCCGTTTGACTGTTGTGTGACAATTGCTTCGTCCCTCCGCTGGCCTCTGCGGGTGGGAACCTGATAGCGTCTGTCCAGCCTCCCGTCCAGCCTCTCATCCAGGGAGGCGACTTCCTCCAGTAGAAATTTATGAGGTTCCTCGTGGTATTTCTGGAGCCTGATGACCCATTGGTCTGAAGTAGCTCTGCTACCATAAAAAGGGCTGGCTTTCCTGCTGAGCCAGCACTTTATAGCCTATATACTCTGTTTAATCTTTACTGTTTGAGACTTAGCTGTGTCTCCCTCCCTGTTCTTCTTCCTCGTCTTGCTTAGTAGGTGAGAATTTCTCCTATAGCTTCACTCACTGTCAGGGAACAATACAGGGAGGGCTGCTCAAGAGGTGGGGGTCCGGGCATTCTGGAGAGGCTTTTTAAGCACGAAGGACTAATTTTTTTGTTTTTAAAGATGTTGCTGCAGCTGTGACCTCTGACCTCTGATGTTGTGTTTAGAGAGAGAGAGAAGGAGCAGTTAGCTGGAGCTGACACTTACGATGGCTATTCAGACAGCGGACGATACTGGACATGCAGACGGGTTAAATGTGGATTTTGGTGTTGCAGAGCTTTTATTGATGTTTGCTTTGCAGCTTGCACGCTGTTGACGAAACTGTCAAGATTTGAGGCTTGAAGCAATGTTCGAAGATGCGTTTGTTTTACCACTTTAGCTTAAATCTGCACACAGAGTTGGTTGGAGTTTTTGGATATTATAGACCTGCCATTCCTCAAATCATTTAGAGATCACATCAAATCCAGATAGATCATATAGATCATACCATCATGAAAAAAATTGAGAAAATGGTTTTATTTAGAGGTGAAGAAGAGTCGTTTCCTGCACGTTCTGCTGACCAAGTTTAAGGAATGTGTGTTTTTCTATAATCAGTCCTAAATGATTTGAGTCTTTCTATGCATCTTTGAGCTAAATTAGTGACTCTTAGCTCACAGGACTCAGTTTGTGTCTTTTAGGTTGGGCTGTGAAAGTGAGGATTTGTATTTTGATGATGGATGCAGACTTTATTTTTAAAAAAGCCTCATTCTCCAGATGGTGACCTGGGCACACACTTTGGTGCCTGGCATGGCTGCAGGATGTTGAAATCTGTTAGCTGCTCTCACTGTGCACTCGCTGCCACACTCGGTTCATCTGCCGGTGACATTTAGTGCTCAGATCGTTGGCTCGCTCCAACAACTTAAATTCCAGGCAGAAATGTCTTCAGAGGGACAACTGTCGAGCGCTCCTGGGTGCCTGACCCCTCCTGTCCAAAATTAGCTGGTTTGTGGCAGTGTGATTTTCCATGATAGTAAAGCGCATCGTGTTTCTCGCTGGAGGTCAAAGGGCACCCAATCAATAACAGGTGTGTCCAGCTGAGCTGTGAGTCAGGCAGAGTCAAGGTTCTGTTACTTTTCACTCCTCGCATTTGACTAACGAGTGTTTTCTGTCTCTGCAGGGTGTGAAGATCACAAACAGCCAAAATGACTGAGTGAGTACAATTTTACTTTTTTCATTTTCTCCTTATTTGCTTGCCTTCCACCTTTTTTCCAAGCCTTCTTCTGTGTTTTTCCTCCTTCTCCTTCCTCTTCTTCTTTACCTCCTTTTGTCTCTCCCCCATCTTCTTCTTCTTTTCTTACTCCTGCTTCTGGTTCATCTTCTTTAAGATGATTGCACATGAAGCACTTATCAGTGGGAGTGAGAGGTGCTGACAGGTGGATTTGTATTGTCAGGTTTGCTGTGTGGCAGACGGGTTTAGGACCAAAACACAGAACTCCACAGACAAAATGTAAACTCCAAAAGCAGCTTTATTGCAGAACCTCAGAAATTAGCCACGAAACACACGAGGCACACAGCTTAAGGGAGAACATGACAAAAGGGAAGGGACGACTGAGACAATAAATACACACAGAGGATAACGAGGGAACAAGCCAACTGAACATGACACACACAGGACAAGGGACTATCAAAATAAAACAGGAACTACCTAACAGTGAGACCTGGACAAAGACATATGAGCTTGACACAGAAACACAAGCGAAGCGGAAAAAACGAGGGACAAATAAACCAGTCTGAAACCAAGAAATGCTGCAGTACCACCAGAACATGTGAAACCAGAACACAAACAGCTCTAAGACAAACTCTAGGTCAGCTGCTCGCACTTGGAACTGAAACCAGCACCGAATAATGTGACAAAGATGATCACAATTAAAAGCTAAAGAAAACTCAAAACAAACCCCCAACCCTGGGTCAGCGATCCATGACATCTATAGCTTCGCGCAGAAGCAGATTTTGTAGACATAGAAAGGTGTTGCGTAAAATAAGGAACTGAATTACCAAAATGCAGAAAAATTACAGTCGGTCATTTCAGCTCTGAAGGTAATTTTCTAATCTCTGTCTCACAGGGGAAAGAAAATGACGTCCAGCCGCAGGCATCATCTGAAGGTGAGGCTTAAACCTTTTGTTTTCTAAAACCTTTGAATTTTTGGAGGCTCTCTCTTCACTTTGCATGTTTTCGTCTTCCTGCAGAGTTTGATGCTGCACATCGCCGCCAACTGGCTCGAGCAGGAGAAGACAGACATCGCAGCAGCGAAGGAGGCCTACTTGGCTGAGAACTGCCCACCTTCTGACCTCAGCGGAGACCTGGCTGCCCTTACGGTTAGAACGAAACTGTGTCATATGCTTACACTTTCTTATGACCACAAGAAAACATCGGGGCGTTTTCCTCATTGTAGTGGAGCAGGTTGCAAAAAGTTGAGTTTAGGACATCAGAGGAAGGTGAAACATTTGTGTTATGAGCTGGTTAAATCTTACATTCCATTACATGTCCGTGATTAAAAAGCTATGAATATTTTCTAAGCAGTTATGTGACCTTATTTTACATTTAGCTGAAATTCATAATTTTCAAAATAAAAGTATTTTAATGCAATGTACTGATGCCAACCATTTATTTCTTACAAATTCATGTTTTAGCTAGAAACCACATCTATGAGGTAAAAGAGAAATAAACATGAAATATATATAAAATAGAGGAATTCAGATAAATACCTCCAAAGTGAACATCCATGCTGACTGCTAATGAAAAGCGTTCGTTCTGCACTTTAAAAGGACGCCTGCAAGAAGCTCCACGCCGCCATTGACAAGATCGACGAGTCGAGATACGACACCGAGATCAAAGTGCAGAAAGCCGACAAAGAGGTGAGAGTTTGAGCGAGATTATGGAAAACTCACTTTACTTTTAGATGTTTTTAATCTTAATGTCATCGTGTGTGCATGCTTTATTTCCAGATCTAGTTCCTTTGATCGTTCTCGACTGGGTAGGTGTAGATTTCAGTGCTAAATATCAGAATCAGAGGCTCTAACACTACTGAGTGACGACTGTGTCGACAGTCAGCAGGTCTTTTTTAATCAAAAAGTATGAATTGGAACTATTATAATGCATGTTGAGAGGCAGCTGGATAAGTATGAAAGAGCTGGAAGGAAAAAGGAGGCGTAGGTTTGATATGAGGGCATTTTTGATTTTCATAAAAGTCTGAAACTCAGTTAACTGTGTGCTGCTGGAACATGTTTCATGTGTTTAAAATGGTTTTTATATTCCTAGCTGCTAAATCAGTTCAGGACTGTAGGGGGCAGACGTCTGTCCCAGTTTTCATAGGTGATAGTTACAACCAGGACAGGTTGGCAGGCCATCACAGAGAGACACACAACCATTCACACTCACGTGAACGGTTCACAGCAGCTTAGAAACCTGGATGTCTTTGGAGTGTGGGAGGAAGCCGGAGTACCTGCGGATCTGACTGGCTGCTTTTCCAGCTTTTAACGAACGATTCTCGACCTCCAGATTGAGGATCTGAAGCTGAAGGTGATTGAGCTGGCCGGTGTGAAGAAGCCTGCCCTGAAGAAAGTGCGCATGTCTGCAGACGCCATGCTGCAGGCTCTGCTGGGCTCCAAACACAAGGTGACCATGGACCTGAGGGCCAACCTGAAGCAGGTCAAGAAGGAGGTGAAAGAGGAGGTGAGACACGAGGCTTTCACAGCAAGGAAATCGGCTTGTTTCATCATCACTGTGTCCTACTGCAACAACTTCAGGATTCAGTTTAACTCACTGGACCGAATTCATCGAAAGAAACAGAGCGTAGCCACGTGTTAGGAACTAATCTGAGGTGAACGCTGATTCAGCAGGTTTGCAGAGCTTCTCTCCGTCATTATCACGCGTCACGTTTGGCCCAGCAGCTCGATACAGTGGATCTCGAGTGATCTCATTATTTGAATAAAATAATTTAATTATTCTCTAAATTTAAATGATTTCTCTCTCTTCTCTAAAACTGTAAATCAGATTTCTGCTACACAAAATGAAATAAATAAATAAAACGACAGTTTTACAATGCACATAAAAAATGATCATCAGCAGTGAAGTTAGGCATGACATGCGAACCGTTATAGAGAGGAAAATTAAAACATAGAGGCCTAAACATTCAAATATTGTACAAGTTAGTGTTTCTCTTAAACTACATTTATTTATTTTCATTTTTATTTGTTGCACATGTTTTCATCTATGCACAGCTATCATTTGGGAGAAGACTGCATTGAGTCAGGCAAGCCTCAGGCACAAGTGTAAATGGTTATGGCTCTGTTATTATAGTTTTGGATTTTCTAATTAGTTTTATTTATTTATTTTGTTTGTTTTTTAATTTTATTTTGAAGTCAGTTTAGTTTCATTTAGTTTCCAGATCAGTTTAGTTTTTATTGTTTGAACATATTTTGCTTTTTTTCAGTTACTTCAACCAAGGAGGTTAAACGTTATAGGTTCAAGCATAAAATATAAAAAATATAAATGTTTGGTCTCAGTTTGAGGTGTTGACGAGTTCTCCTCATTCTTTCCAGCCTGCAGACGTTGGCGACTGGCGTAAAAACATCGAGGACAAGGCCGACAGGAAGAAGATGTTCGAGAGCTCCTAAAAGCCGCCTGGATCGGCGGAGATGGTGGAGGTCGGCGGGGGCGTTTAAGACTGAGGTCTGAGTGACTGAAGGTGTCTCTGGGTCTCGTCTGGACCCTCAGGGACAAAAGTTCAGACAGTTTCTTGATGATTTTTTGGCTGTTTTTTGTCACGCTGTCACCCCTGCGCGTCAGAGAGACTGAACCAAAACAAAGTGAATTTAACTTCGTCTGCAGTTGAAACATCTGGCAGAGAAACGTCAGTTCAAAATGTACAGCTTTTCATGGAATCGTTAGCAATAAAAGTTTTGAAATAAGGATTAATTTGTTGCTACTTGTATCCACTTAGTAACAGTTTAATGCCCTTCAAATTGATTCCTTAACATTTTCACACTGACACTTTAAAGAAATCGATTTTTGACAAATTTATTAGAAAAAAACCATTTAGAGGACCTGAGCTCTTCTGAAAGAGGAAAACTCTTTTTCAGCTGAGAGAAGAGATTCTCCGACATGACTTTTCCAGTCTGCAGCATAAAAACTATAAAACTGATAGTTAAGAGAGCAAACAATGAAACCTATATAAATAATACTTCTGTTAAAGTAATTACATTTCTAAATGCACAATAACATTTACAAAAGTTCAAGCAGTTTTTGCTGTTGAACCCAAAACATCATGTTTTCAGAGAGCAAGCAAAAAAAATCCTTTTTAGATATTTTCCACACAAAGAAGCAACGATTCAACCTTCTCATCTTTCTAGTTTTCAAACAGTTTCTACATGTAAAGAAAAAACATCTGATTCCAAACAGTTTAAACTTTAGACTATTGAGATTATTAAAGTAAGTTCATCTTACCCTGTTGCAAGTAAAAAATCATGTTGCAGAAATGTTCACATGTTGGAAGCATTTCCATGTTTTTATTTTTAAACTATGTTAGCGTAGCTTTGTGTAATTTGTGGCTCAAAATAATCCTTCTTTAAATTAAGCTGGGCTTGGTGTAGCCCCTCATTTTAGGAACTTTCTTCTGATTGGCTGTGAATCTCAAACAAAAGCTTTGATCAGCAGGTGGGCGGTGCTTATTTGGTCAAAGGGAGAACTTTGTGATGACCCTGTTAGGGCTAGCCAAGCTTAATGACATCATTCGGAGCCAATAATAGACACTGTTTTGTAAACCCGGTGTTTTAGAGGAATCTGCAGCCTAAACTTTAAAACACATACACTGTCCTCGTTATTTGAAATTTTGGCCACTTTCATAGAAAAATTCAAATTAAATAATTAAACAAAAGACATAAAACAGTAAAGAAGGAAACACATAATAATTTAGCGTTGGGTTTTACAGGAAACTGAAGATTCCATTTGTTGTGACTGCAGGGCTTAAAATGCTCCTTTTGAGTTAAAGATCAAAACATATATTAAATCTGTCCGAAGCCTTCTGAAGACATAAAACGTGTTCTGTTCATTCTCCTTTAAGTTTATTCCATATACACAAACACAGCATGGAGCATGAAGGGTTCTCACAGGGAGGGCGTTTTGCAGAGCAGGGCTGGGCCGGGTGTATTTCAGGAGCTCGCAGGCCTATTGGTCTGCCTGGAATCCATTTCCATAAAGAGGATCTGGCAATTTGCTGAGGCATCGCAAACCACCATATATACCTATTTCATTTTTCACTGTCTGTGGCTTTGGCAGTGTCTCCTTTCTTCCACCAAGTGTGTCCTGTCCTCTTCTTCCTCCTCTTCAATAGGTGAGAAAATCTTCCTTACTTTATCTTTTTTCTTTTTCTAATATTTCCAGCATCTTTGAGCTTCTCTGAGAGCAGCATCTCTATTTTATCAGATAGAATAAAAAGATGCTGCATGCAGCCACGTCTCAAACGACTGTGTTTTGAAAAGACATGATTTAAAGCAGGATTACAGCTCTGACTGTTCCTCACTCAATCCAAGTGGCTTCTTTACATTTGTTGGTGACATTTGACCTTTTCTGTCAAACCTAAATTTATATGAGTTTCAGCTGCTCTGCCTCAGTCTTGTCAAAGACCTGATTCAGCTGTTTTGCCTCAAATTGTTCATTGACTTTTTGGATGTGCGTACAACAGAAATATGAGCTGATCAGAAGGCCTGGAATTACAAAAATCTGATTCTGGTTTGGTAAATATTTTCTGGTTCCCTGAAAATGTTATGTATAAAGTTAAAAACTGAACAACACTTGAATCATTAATTAATCTTATATATGTATATATACCCTGCCTAAACAAACAAACAAAAAAAGATGTCTAACCTAATCTTCTAATCAAAAAGTGACATTAATTGGTCATGAAGACATGCTATCAGAGTGCCTCAGAGACACTATGGATAGTTACTAAAGGTTAGCTACTGTCAGCTAGTTCATGATGTCATGTTAGTTAATGATATTCCACTGGAGATTTTTTCAAATTAATCCTTCACTCGATCACGTGTAAACCGCAGAGACTGACACACGATCCCGGCCAGCCCAGTTTAGTTCAGTTGACGTCGCTGCTCTTCAGCTGTGGCCTCAGATCGCGTTACGGCACAAATATTCCCGTCTATCCATCTCCATCACAGCAGCAGAACATGCTGATCTCAGAGAACCTCACACTGATTATCTGAACATCTCTGGTGTTCAGCAGGCTCAGAAAGACCTCAACGTTTCTCCAGTCACTCAGTTTTATGTTTGTCTTACTGCAGGTTTGAACCCGAAAAACCGCCAAGATGTCTGAGTAAGTGCGAAGAAACATCCTGTCTGATTGATGCACACTATACCTCATTTATATATGCACCGAAATCTGCCTCCTTTAAAGATGCTCCCTTTAAATGTTAATATCTGGATCCAAAAAAAGATGTGAATTAGAAAAATGTAACCTTTACAACTATTAATGATCACAACTTCCTCTCAAACAGGAAAAAGATGACTTCCAGCGCAGGCATCATCTCAAGGTAAATAAGGATTATGAAAAAAAATTGAGTTCTTCGCTGCTGAGTATGTTTGAGTGCAGACCATTAAACACGAGACTGGTTGATGATGATTCTGTCCTGCAGAGCTTGATCCTGCAGATTGCTATGAACTGGATCGAGCAGGAGAAAAAGGAAACCGAGACGGCCAAACAGGCCTACATGGCCGAGCACTGTTCTCCTCCAGACATGAGCGGAGACCAGGCCGCCCTGATGGTGAGAGAGACATCAGGGTTTATCCGAGAAAAAGAAAGAATAAAAAAGAATAAAATGTTCTTTTAGTAGTTCAGGAAACAATCAGCTACTATAATAGCCTATTCATTTAATTAATTAATTTATGCTGTTTATTACTGTATTTATTTCATTATGTTGTTGTTTTGAGTAGAAACATGACTGTTATTATTATTTGGCATTTAAGTGCCACCATAATGCAGCATGGAAACTGGACACTTAAAGGATGCTAATGAAATGAGAAGCTAGCCTGAACTTTGCTGCTGTAATTCATCATAAACATAAATTACCTGAAAGTGTTAAGTGAAGCACCGAGTGACCTGCTAACATTAGCACTCCTCTGCCAGAGGAATGTACATCCTTTAGCACCTAGCTGCTTTGATCGGCATGGCTAGCAATGCGGTAACTTGCATGTCTCTTCCCGTCTTGTGTACTTTTAGAAGCAAAAGTAGTTTAAAACTTTATATGAGCTTGAAACAAATGATTTACTCACTGGTTTTGTTACTTTAACAGCACTTTTGATATAAAAAGGGAAGGCCGTATAACTCTAAAGCTGTGGGAAGATCATCTTCTGGGTTTCTTTATGCATCAACAGGAACTCTGCAAGAAGCTTCACGCCGCCATCGACAAGATCGATGATGAGCGGTACGATGCCGAAGCCAAGGTGCAAAAGGCTGACAAAGAGGTAATCTTCCTCTGGGAGCATAACAGGATTAGAGTGGCCTCTAAAAAGTAAAGAAGGGTAAAATAAACACTTTCTTTCTGTGCATAGATTGAAGACCTGAAGATCAAAGTTGTGGACCTGATAGGAGTGAAGAAGCCTGCCCTGAAGAAAGTGCGTATGTCTGCTGACACCATGCTGCAGGCTCTGCTGGGCTCCAAACACAAGGTGACCATGGACCTGAGGGCCAACCTGAAGCAGGTCAAGAAAGAGGTCAAGGAGGAGGTGAGTTCACAGACAGAGGGTGGTTTTGTCAGGATAAATCGACATGTTTGCACTTTTAGTTCCAGCAGTGATGGATTTTTATCTTTCTTTACATTACTGAGTTTACTGATGGTGCCAGTAAACCTGTTTTAATATCTATGAAGCAGCTTATCATCAATGTGATGACCTTACACTATCAGAATATTATATATAATTTCTCCAAAGTTTTGGCATTCATGACAAAATAATTCTGACGTGCACAAAAAAATAGTTGGTGACTTGGACGCTAAAGCGTCACGCGGTTAGACGATACACCGTGGCCTTGAATTCCAGGCTGAGATTATATTGCAGATTTCAAACATAAATCAATTTTACACAGCCAAAAATAATATGCACACCCAGGGAAACTTGGTGGCAATCTGGAAGAGAACATTTTGGACTTCTGATCAGAAACTAGCACTGGAGCCTTGTATCCCACACATTTGCTCACAGATGAAATTAAAAAGCATTTTTTCTTAATTTCTCTTAAATCTGTAATTAACAACTGAATCATATTTGGTCCACAAGTTTTGGAGGACGTTTGGAGACTTCTGCATCTTTTGTGTGTTTTTTTTCCTGAAAAACTTGAATAAATCTCACAGTTTGTGATGCAAAGTAAAACTCATTCAGGAAATTAATATTTTTTTTTTTTAAATTATTAGGAGTAGCATAATAAAGACTGCTTTTTCAAAAAAACTTAATTCCTGTCAATTATTTCATCAGTCAGTCTTTACAGTATTACAGAATTTTTCTACTTCTAGAAACATAAAGTCACATGTAAGGCATGTAAGGGCTGGTTTTCCATGTGTCAGCTGTCAAAGTGCAGAAATCAGCTGATTAAGTTCAATCACCTCTCTTTTTAATAAAACTAAGATGTCTAAATTCCCGGTTGTTTGGACTAACTCGCTGCTTCCTGTCCTCTGCAGCCTACAGAAGCGGTGGGTGACTGGCGTAAGAACATTGAGGACAAAGCTGACAGGAAAAGATGTTCGAGGCCTCCTAAATGTTTCGCTGCTCTGCTTTGTTTTTCTGTTTACATGAACTCAATGTGTCCTATTGTGCTGGTGGAAGAGCGCGTTTGCTTTATGTCACACAGGTCTGAAGAGCAGGTTAGCAAATCTGAGAGGCGGGGAGTTGAATTTACCTGAGGGTTGTTATTTTG